TTTTTGGCTCTGATTCTACCCACCATATACTTCATCACAACCCATTATTGATATATAGCCCCCAATGATTGTCCTGAAGGGCATGCAATCCTTGACAGGAAACAAGAGATTATCTGGTTAAAACACATTGAAGTATTTTAAGCATCGTGGCCAACTTATCAAAAGCTTTTACAGGTCATAAAATTAATTTTAAAACTGCAGCTTAATATTCATGTGATCTTGGCTTATTTTCTCAAGTTGCTGATCTCCCCCCCCCATTTTTAAAAAAAATTTTTTTGGCACTGAAACTGGGACAGAAGAGATGCTCAGGATAATTATACAGCATTGTGAGAAATAAAAAGGAGAGAAGGTGAGAGATGAAGTTCTGGGCCTTTATCTGATGAGTTAGTGTGCAATCATTCTGCAGTGCTAAGCAATTGCCAAAACGATCTGTACAACAATATGTTTTGCTCTTGTGAATTAGAGTCCATAACTAGGAAACATTGTACATGGTAAGACGTAAGGCTGCTTCGAAACATTTTAATTGCATAGTCCTCTGCCTCAAACATAGAACAAAGGATCCAGATGATAGCTTCGAGGTATAAACCTCTGGTTGTTTTTCCCCAGATTTTTTTCATCAGCAGCCACTGATAGTTGATGAGGATTGTTTTAGGATTCTTATATTGACTGACAATGACCTCTGCCTACTGCTAAGCCCAAAGCTGTGGACTGTTGGTTTGTTTTTCTGGATATTGCTGGCTGGTGGAACGTGCTGTTACGTTATTGTATTATGAAACAACAAAGACGCTATGGGACCACCTTGAACTTTACACATATCAGATCACATTTTAAGTGTGCTAATGAGCAGTCTTAGCCATTTGATTTTCATAATCTTCTGCCACCTTCTAAGCATCACCACATTTTATATCCTCTTAGAATGTAACTATGGTATTAAAATGGTTCTCTTCTGTTGGAGACAGTTACTTCTCTTCATTAAAACTGCACATGCCTATTCTAATGATGTGTTTCAAAAGCTTTTAGCCCTGATGAAGTATGGAACAGGTGGACTGCTGCACAAGATTGAGAGACGAAGTAATGGTCTTTCCAGTTTCAGAATCTGAGTGGTTTCATATAGTTGGTCCTAGACCTTTACATTAATTCTAAGATAGCGTTCATGGTTAATAAACATTAGTGTACACCCTCTAAAGTTTTGATTGCCAGCCTTCTGTTCAGTTTTAATTTTCTGCAGGCTACTTTTCCATATTTTTATTCTTATTTGGTTTGCATACTCAGCATATTTTCAGTAATGGGGTTTAATAGGGAAATATATTCTTGATGAAATAATTCTACATAGTACTATTAATCCATTAAAAAAAAATGAACAAGAGCAGGAGTGGCATGTATTTGAGTTAATTGAACTTGCTCACACTTTTAGCTGTTGTATAACTTTACTTGTTTTATTTTTTAATCTCCCCATGTCATACTTGGCTGTTCACAGAGGGTTGCTTCACTTGTATTACCAAGAAACTTAATTCTGTGGTTTTGTCTGCGCCGTACAAACATTTGCTAAAAATTACCAAAACAGAACTAAAAAGCTATATATATATTTTTTCTAAAATTACCTTTGGTATCAAAACAAAATAGTGTAAGCTCTTAAATGAAGACTACCAGACATGAGCTGCAAAAATATAGATGACCACGGGATGGTAGCAAAGAGGTATCTGGATTTTTGCAGGCCAGACATGATAGCCCTACTTTAGGTAGGTAGGTAGGTAGGTAGGTAGGTAGGTAGATAGATAGATAGATAGATAGATAGATAGATAGATAGAATGAACGAACGAACGAACGAACGAACGAACGAACGAACGAACGCTTGGCCAAGCATGAAACATACAAGTAATTTGTCTTCGGTGCAGAAAAAAACTCTCGGTGTTTGCATAGCATCAGAAAATAAGGAGTATAAAAAGTAATAACATTATATACTAA